TGGCTACAGTCCTTTTAAAATTCATAGCCCATCGTTGTTGAGCCAAAGGGAACAAGAGAATGGAACTGGAGGTTAAGGTTGTTTGGGTCATGTCCTCTGAGCGGGTTTAAGGCCTGGGACTGCTTCCTGTCCTCAGCATGTGTCACCCAGAGCAGGTGAGCGCCTGGGGCCACACAGGGAGTGGCAGGAGCAGAGAGAGGCTGGGGCCCAGGCTGAAGGAGGGAGGCACAGGCTCTGACAACTGGGGACCCTCCTTCCTACCTACTCTTCCCGTGCTTTCTCTTGCCAGTCGTGGCAATATGGCCCACTTTGTCTGTGGGATCATTTGTGACCACAGCTGCATCTGGGACCTCAGGCTTTGCCCCCCTGGGGCCTGGGAACTGCCCAGCACCCCTTGGAAAGTGCTGGTGGGATGGCCCTGGGGTTCAGGCCAGGGACAGGGAGGCCCTGGGAACTCGCAGAGTTGGGAGAAGAGAGGTTGGAAAGTTGAGGGGGAAGAGTCCTTCTACTCTAAAAGAAACACCCCAAATACTCTTCCCCACAGAAGGGGTAGAATGAATCTTCCTGGCAGAGGGCAGGGGATCTTCCCCTCCTGACTCCAGTCCTGAGATTTCCTCCAGAGACTCCTGGATCCCAGCCGGGCACTACTCCCCGAGACACTCTGGCTCTTGGCAGCCAGGGGGCGCCACAGCTCCTCCTTTAGACTGGCCCGTACCGAAGTCCTGAAGGGGGGCGGGTGGGCACTGCTTCATTGCCCTGAGCTTCCTCTCCGCCCAGATAGCTGCTCTCCTGCCCCACCCAGTCCCGGCCTTCTCAGACATGGTGCAGGCCCCATCCCGGGCCTCCCCGAGGTGAGCAGCCCAGGGAGGAGGGCAGGATGTGCTCATCTGCAGGGTGTCCCCTGCCTGCCCACTCTCTGCAGCACGAGGCCTCTCAAATCCACACCCTGCCATTCTGGCTTTTCCATCTGGCCCCTTGGTGTCAAGTCTCTCTTTTGAACACTCCTATAGCCCCTACAACTCTCAGCATGACAACCCTGTCTCTCTCCCTCCGTCTCTCCATCTCACCCTTTCTCTGTTCTCCCTTTTCTCTGGTCCCTGTCTGATCACAGGCCTCTCCCCTCCCCGCCTCCCCCTTAGTTAATCAGCTGTGTAAAGAGCTGTCAGGGCTGGGTGGAGGGCTGGGCCCTCCCCACTGCTCTGGCCTCTTCTGGCCTCCCCTTGTCCCCTCCCTCACTCAGCCCCTTCCCCTCACTTCTCCCCCCACCACATAATTTATCATCAGGTCAGGGCACTGGAGGAAAGGGCCTCTGGGTAAGGTGGGGTGGGGACAATGGGGGAGTGCTGGCGGCCCTGCAGATAAGGATCCCTGGGCTCCCAGGGAGAATGTTCCTGAGACATCTCCCGATCCTCCTGCCTGAAGGTGAGGAGGAGGCAGGGTGGCATGGGAAAAGGGCTGTGACTTCCAGCAGGCAGGACCCAGTGTGACTCTCAGCCCTGACAGTTCCTAGCTGCATGACCACGGGCAGGCAAGCCTATTTCTCCGTCTGTAAGGGGCGCATGATACCATCTAGCTCACAGTGCCTTGCACAAAGTGTAAGCTCTAAGCTCGGTCAGTGTTGCTGTCCGTCCCTGCTGTCAGGGTGCTAGGCCACCCTGTTCCCCTGAAATCTGACCCCTGCATCCTGGATTCAACCCAAGAGCTAACTCTTTTGTACACGCCCTGTATATACCAGGCACATTCAAACCCATAATGTCATGTATTCCCTATATTATAATTAAGAAAGTTGAAATGCAGAGAGCTCGACTGCGACCAGGGTCTAGAAGGCAGAGTCGGGACCAAGGAGCCTGACCCCACAGGCCCAGGACTGGGAGTGCTGGTGGCAGCAGGTTGCTGGAGGAGAAGCTGACAAAAGGTCTGCTGAGAAATTCAACTGGGCAAGAACTCCAAAGGCACCTGCAGCGGGAGCGAGAGCCTGGGCTCTGCCCCTGCCCTGGCGCTTGCTGGGTGTCCTCGCGAAAGTCCTTTCCTTTTCTGAGCCTCAGCTTCCTCTTCCTCATCTTGCAGGGATGTGGGGCAAAAGAGGGACTGGATGCTTGGTGAGGTCTCTTTCTGCCCTGAGCATTGTGTTCCCTCTCCTGCAAAGGGACCTGGCATGGCACACACAGGACAGGCTGTGGCTTACAGTTGTTTATAGGGTGAAAATCGAGTCCTCATCTTCCCCACCCCCATCCTGTCACTTGGGGTCTGTAATCAATGACTCGTAAAATGAGAAAGTATCAGGAACCAGCAAGGCGTGGCGAGCAGCTGGGGCAGTCTCACTGCTGCCAGTGTGATGGAGCGCCAGCCCTGTCTCACCAGCCTCCACACCCAGCCCGGGCCAGCGACTCACCCAGCCTGGGCCGAGGCTCCAGCTGGACATCAGTTCTGGAGTCAATTTTCAATGAGTCTAAAAGCCTCACCTTAAAAAAGGAATGAAATCTATGTATCTGGACATAGAAAGATGTGTCCAGGATGTATAGCTGAGTCATAAAAGCAGGTTACATGATCTCACCTATAAAACGATCCCATTTATGTTATTATATAGAAGTGTTGGTATGTATGTAAAAAATGGGTGGTAGATTACAAACTGTGATTAGCAGTTATCTCTGGGAGTGTGATTATAGGGGAAACATTCTACTTTATACATTTTTCCTTTGTTGGACCCTTAAAACAAGTATATATTTCTTTTATAATTTTAAAAAGGATAATCTTATAATAAAGATATTTCCATTTATGGGGGGAAGCCTCACAGAAATATGCATGAGCTAATGAAATGCTTAGTGTTTGGGCTGGAATTTTATCAAGCTGGGGTGGGAAGGCCTAAAGTATTAAATCTAAAATCAAATCACAGGCAGGGCGCGGTGGCTCACGTCTGTAATCCTAGCACTCTGGGAGGCCGAGACAGGAGGATCGTTTGAGCTCAGGAGTTGGAGACCAGCCTGAGAAAGAGCAAGACCCTGTCTCTACTAAAAATAGAAAAATTAGCTGGGCAACTAAAAATATATATAGAAAAAATCAGGCGGGCATGGTGGTGCATGCCTGTAGTCCCAACTACTTGGGAGGCTGAGGCAGGAGGATCGCTTGAGCCCAGGAGTTTGAGGTTGCTGTGAGCTAGGCTGATGTCACGGCACTCTAGCCCAGGCAACAGAGTGAGACTCTGTCTCAAAAAAAAAAAAAAAAAAAATTTCAAAAAAAAACTCAAAATCAAAGCACAAAGAGTTTGATTTTTTATATTATTTTTTTTTCTTTTAAAAAAAGACAGGGTCTCGCTCTTGCTCAGGTTGGTCTTGAGCTCCTGAGCTCAAGCGATCCTCCTGACTCGGCCTCCCAGAGTGCTAGGATTACAAGCGCGAGCCACTGTGTCGGCCCAAGAATTTGATTTTTTCAAAGATAAAATCAACAATCCTTTCATGAGACTGGTTTGCAAAGATCAAATCTGTCAAAATATGTGATTCTTAATACAAAGGGAGGCTGGGTACGGGGGCTCACGCCTATAATCCCAACACTCTGGGAGGCTGAGGCGGGATGATCGCTTGAGGTCAGGGGTTTGAGATCAGCCTGAACAAGAGCGAGACCTGGTCTCTACTAAAAATAGAAAAAAAAATAGCTGGGCGTGGTGGCGTGGGCCTGTAGTCCCAGCTATTCAGGAGGCTGAGGCAAGAGGATGACTTGAGCCCAGGAGTTGGAGCTTGCTGTGAGCTAGGCTGACGCCACGGCACTCTAGCCCTGGCAACAGAGGAAGACTCAGTCTCAAAAAAAAAAAAAAAAAGGCAAAGGGGGAGTAAGTGTAAAAGAGGTCCTTGGTGTCCGCAAGTCCAGGTTTGGCTGCTGTCAGGGGGCATTAAGGCTGAGGGCGCCCTCCACCCGGACACCTTACGCATCTTAAGAACCAAGCCCACATCAATGCTGTGGTCCAACCTCTCTCCCCAAAGGGACCCAGCTCCCTTCCAACCAGCCTGAGGGCCCCTGGCCTCTGGAGCCTTCGGGAATGAACGACTCCCCAGGACCCCCTTGGCTCCCTGCCTTCCAGCTTTCTCCTGCAGCCACGCTTGGGTACGTGGGGACTCTCCCAGGGCCAAGGACCTGGGCTTGAGCATCCCCTGAGATAGGGGAAAGGGAGTGAAGAGATGGGTGGGTTTTAGCCTACATCGGAATGGATATCTGAGGGTGTGGGGCAGGGGGAGGTCACTCCCGCTGAGGGATTCTGCAGTTCCCAAATGGCCAGTTCTATTTCCCTCTCCTGAGGAGTCAGCACGGGGGGGTGCAGGTGCAGTGAGACACAAGTTTATTGGTGGAGCTGCAGAGAAGTCCTCCCTCTCTCTGGGATAGCCGAGGGTACAGCACCAACAGAGGGATGGACAGACAGACTCCCAAACAGACACATGGATGGAGCAGACTCAGAGAGACCACAGCACAGCCACACAGGCACAGAGACACACAGGCCACAATACCAAGATCACGCACGCAGAGACAACACCACAGGGCTAGGACACATGGACAAAGTGCAGGCATTGGGGCCCCTGCATAGACAGAGCGAGGGCCACATGGGGAGGGGGCCCCTGCTGACCTCCCCCAGGCATAGGCACAACAACAGCACACGGACAGGCAGATGCCCCCAGCCAGCCAGCCACACGGACAAATGGACTGCACGAAAAGGGGCTCATGGCCCCCCAGACAGTGGGGAGCAGGGACCACGGGCCTTTCACACCCCCACTGCACTGAGGCCCGGGAGTCCCTGCCCCTGAACTGGTCACATCTGTTCATCTGACTCCCACCACACTCCCCCCCACACTTTGGTCTTGCCCACTGGGGCTGGGGCTGGGAGTTTGGCAGGTGGAAGGAGGGGGAGAGGATGGATATGGGCCCAGCTCGGTCCCTTCTCCGTGGTCAGGGAGGAAGGTGCTGAGAGTCCGGGGCTGAGCTTGGGCCTGGCAGTGGGGTGAGGATGGGGATGTGGCTCAGGCTTGGGGGGGCTCCCGGCAGCGCAGGCACTGGGCCATCTCTGGCTGGTACTGCTCGACCTGCAGGGTGCAGCTGGAGAATCCAAACCGGGAGTAGAGCCGTGACGAGGCTTCAGCCAGGACAGCTTCAGGGTCAGCAGTGGAGTCTGTGGGAGAGTGATAAGAGGCAGCATCAGTCCCCAGGGAGTCAGGAACAGGCAGGGGCTGAGATAAGGATGCACGAAGAGGCCGAGGGCTGCACAGCATTAAAGCCACGCGTAAATGCGGAGCTTGCTTTTCTTTCTGTACTGTATGAACAGCGTAAAATCGTCAAAGAAAATGTTGGAGACAGTCACCCCCGATCGACCATGCTAACGCACTAAACTGTTCCTAGTCTTCTATTCTCTTCTGTCTTTGGGTATCAATATTTCAGCAGCCATACTACTTGATTTCCCAGGACAATCCAGATGTTAAATATTCTGTCCCATTGTCCCTCTAGAGTTACCATCAAATATCCTACAAATTATAATATTTTTGGCATCCAAATTGCATGTCTCTGATTGCTTCTTGCATCTGGAAGAAACTCAAAAATCCTTTGTCAGCTCATGAGTCACCATATATATTTTTAATAGTTGAATCATAATGTAGATGTAATTTTATATTCAGCTTTTTTCTCTCAGCATTATACCATAAACATTTTTCCTAGTTGCCATACATTCTTCATAATCATCAGTTTTAATAGTTATGTGATACCCTAGAGGGGAGGTGCCATAATCTACTAGCTGTGGCCCTATCACTAGACCTGTAGGTACCAGTAATCTTTTAAAGGGTTGTGGGTTCCCTGTGCTATTTCAGAGAGGGCAAAACCTCTGCCAGAACACCATGTTGGGACTCCTTGCCTCCGACATGCAACATGCACACATATGTGTGTGTGTGAGAGACAGAAAGTGAGAGAGACAGAGACAAAAACAGAAACAGAGAGGATCAAGAAAGACTGCAACAATCCAGTAATTCAAGCTATTGTCCATGCTGGGGGTAGGGCACGTGTGCAGAAAGTAATTGGCTGGGGCCAGCGCACACTCACCAATGGCCAGGTGTGCAGAGGCAACATGGTAGGTGAGCGTGAGGGCCCACAGGTGCAGCTCATGGGTTGCCCGGACTCCTGGCACTGACAACAATGTATCCCGCACGGGTTCAAACCCCACGCTGCGGGGGGTACCTGCAACCAGCACCAGCCATGTCTTACCACAAGGGATGCTCCTGCCAGGGGCAGCCCCCTAGCCTTCACCTCCCCAATCCTGTATCCAATCACCCTGTTGACCCCCACGATTCACCCTATGCCCAAATCCTCCCACCCAGGCATTCTCACCACTCTCTTCGGAGAAAAGAGAGGTGGCCCAGTGCTAGAGGGAGTCAGAGAGGGCCCCAGGGTGGGGAGCAGTGGTGTCTGATTCACCTTCCATGAGGATGCGAAGAACATCCCGGAGGGTGGGTGCCGTGGATCCAAGGGCACAGATGGAGAAGAGGAAGGTGCTGATGGGGTCAGCTGCCTTGTACTGAGGCTGTAGAGAAAGAGAATCCTGAGCCCAGCAACCAGGGACCTTTCAGGGCAAGTCTAGGGGCATCCTGGGGAATAGGACCTGAGAGGCCCCCGAGAACCCTGGAGAGGGGAAAGGGAACATGACCCAGGGCTGGGAGAGTCCTGGGGAGCTGGGAGGTAGGAACTGGAGTTGGGCGGAAGGAGGCTGAGGGTCCTGGGAAGGAGGGCTGGGGTGTGGAGTTGTGGGGAGGAAGGCAGGGCAGGCCCCCACAGACAATACCTTGAAGTAGATGAGGATGGAAGCAGCCAGCACCCCAAGGCTCTGCAGGAGGTCGCCCAGCACGTGCACAAAGGCTGCCCGGACACTGGTGTTCCCCAGGGGCAAGGGCTCCCCAGGTCCCTCCTCTAGTGGTGCATACTCCGCCCCCCTGGACCCGTGGCTGTGGGGGGGCCCAGCCTGGTGCAGCACAAAGGCCATTCTGAGGGAGAAGTAGAGTGGCTCAGCCCAGGTGGCCTGCCCCCGGCCTCCTCTGCCACTACGTCCATGCCTCCTCCTCCTACCTCCCCCATAGCCCTTTTTCTACCTATATTCCCAGCCCCAGGAAGAAAACAGCACTGTCCGAGAGAGAGATAATGCAGCTGGGGGAGAGAATACTGGACTTGGTGCCAGAGATGTGGATTCAGATCCTGGCCTTGCTACCTAAATAGCTATGTGGCTTGGGCAAGTCACCTGGTCACCTGTTGGGATGGATTTGATTAACGGTAAACTAGGGGTAATACTGCCTACTAGGGGTGGTTGTGAGGTTTAAATGAGACAATACTGATGAGACAATACCAGAGTGGCTGGTACACAGTAGGCCCTTAACAAATGTCTGTTGACACTGAGGTTTAGGTCTGTATCCCAGGCCCTTCTCAGGCAGGCCCAGGGCAGACAGTTGAGTGTGTGCATGTCAGTGTGTCTGGCGGGGGAGGGGAGAGCCAGCTCCCCCATCCCGGAGGAAGACCCCTCACTTTGAGCCCCACATGGTGCCTGCTCCACATTGGAACGTACAGCAGATTGGCACAGACTGCGATGCTGGCGGTCAGCAGCATGGCACCCCCCTCGATGTGGTAGTCGCTGTGCAGCAGGCGGATGAAGGCCAGGTACAGGAGAATGCCAGTGACCATCCAGAGGGAGACCACGGAGGCCAGAGCCCCCAGAGTCTCTGCAGGGGGAGACAAGCTATCAGAGACCTGCTTGGGACCCTGAAAGTTACCCTCCAGCAAGACCGGAGGGTCACCGGTCATGCAGGGGCCTTACCTGAGCGGTGCCAGCCGAAGGTCATGGTGCGGGTGGCTGGACGTGTGGAGAGCCAAAGGGAGAAGAGGCTACCCATCATGCTGCCCACGTCCGCCAGCAAGTGGGCTGCATCGGTCATGATGGCCAGGCTGTGCGCCAAATACCCACCTGCCAGGGCAAAATGGCGTACAGTGCTGTTCCATTTAGCAAATGTCAGGTAGTATGTGCGTATGGGCGTGGAAAATAAGTTGAGGGATATACGCCAAAATGTGAATTGGGGTTTTCTTGGGTGATGGGATTACAGGTAGTTTTCATTTTCTTCTTTTCACTCATCTACTTGTTCTAGTTTTTCTACAGTGCCATCTTTTTTTTTTTTGAGATGGGATGTCACTATGTTATCCAGGCTGGCCTCGAACTCCTGGGTTCTTCCCACTTCAGCCTCCCAAGTCGCTGGGATTACAGGCATGCGTCACCATGCCCAGGTTACAATGACATAATTTGTTTTAATAACAAGAAAATAGGCCTTTAAAAGCCCAGTTAACACCTAGAAATCAGCCCCAGCCCATGGGCCCCGGACCTTGGCCCAAATTCCCCTTGGTGCTCTGTCCCTCACCCACTCCCACTTCCTGAGCCCTAGGCACCCAGCACGCCCATCCCATCCATCCCCATCTCTGCACCTCCACCCAGGAACACCCCTGGGACTCTGAGCGGACAGTGGCTTAGGCAGGTGTCGGGAGGATGCTCTCCAACTTACCCACCACCTCCCCAGCCATGAAGACAAAGCACACAGCACAGGCGGCGTACAGCTGCCTCCGCGCCTGCAGCCTCTCGGGGGTGAGGCCCTGCTGCGGCAGGGAGTCCCTGTGGCAGTGATGGAAGGGCATCTCCACAGGTTTGGGCTCCTCGGGGAGGGGCTCTGAGGGCTCTGTGAAGAGACTGAGGCGAGCAACAGGGTTCAGCCTGGGCCTGGCCCACAGATTGGCCTGCTCACCCCAGGTCCTCCGTGCCCCAGGCTGGCCTCATCAGATGTGGCCCATCTCTCTCTCCGTCCCAAGGCCTGTCATACCCAGGAGCCTTGTGGACAGAGGGCCATGTGAGAGATGGGGGCCAAATGAACAGTTTAGACCCCAGCCTCCCTCTCCCTTCCATACACAGAGCCATAGAGCTTCACAGCTGGAAAGCACCTTACGGACAGTCTAGTCTAATATTTTATTAAATAAATTAGAAATGTGAGGCTCAGAGAGGGAGAGGACGTAATGGAGGCCACACAGCCAGTTGGCGGTAGAGCTTAGACTAGACCCCAACCAAATCAATTTATTAAGCTTGTCACCACAAGGAATACAAAATGAGCGGGACATCGTTTCTGATCTCCGGGAGCCCTTGGTGAACAAGACAAATGTGTACTAAATGCTACAATCCAGAGCAGAAGGTGGTCATCGCCATTAGAGCAGTTAAAGTGCTATCAGGGCTCAGAGGATAGAGGGATAGTTTAATTCTAAGGAGGAAATCAAGGAAACCGCTAGAGGAGATAACATGAGAAAGGCCTTGAAGAATGGGAAGCATTTTGGTAAAGACGGGTGAACATGCCAGGTGAAGGCAATATGAAGAGAAGCTGGTATGACAGTGTGGACCTGGACTCCGCATGTGATCCTGGCCTTAGTGCACCTCCCTCCCAGGCAACTCCCAGATCCTGCCCCTCCCTCTCTACGCATGCAGCTGAAATGCGGCCCTTTAAGAGGGGAGTGGAATGTTGGGACCCAAAAAGTCTGAGATTCTAGGCACAGAGAACTGAGGGCTAGATTCCAGAGCTGAGGTTGTCATGAGGCCGTAGGGGTGCAGACTGTTATGGCGGGGGATGGTAGTGGTAGGAGCACTGGATTCGGAGTCTGCTACACATTAACTGGGCCTCAGTCTCACCACAGGCACCCAGCAGAGGCCACTTTAACTGCAGAGTGGCATAAGCCTGCCCTGACAAATAAACGGGGCTGAGGGCCTTACCGGGGGATCCCAGAGGCTAGGCTCAGGCTGAATGAGTTTTAGACCTATTCTGGGCCAATTCTCACCTCCACCACTACCCAACCTGAACCCCAGCAAGGACAGAACCTTCCAGAGAATAAAGGACATGAATAGAAAATACAGTACTAGGGGAGGTGTGACAAGAATACCCATGAATGAAAACAATGGCTCCAGATAGAAAAGGGAACACAGCGGCAGAGTGGGGAGGGATGCCTGGGGCCTTCTGGCGAGGAAAGCTCTGCCAAGTGGGTGAATTGAGGTTTGAAGGAGGTGGGGGGGACATTTGGTGCTTGTAGGGAAAATTCAAGTGCTTGTAGGTAGATTAATTTCTCGAATTTCAAAAACCCCATCCAAGACTTAGAATCGGGTGTATATGGTTCTGGGTGTGCTTCCAGAGGAGATGGGGAGATGGGAAGATGAAGGTGGCTTTGAAACCCATCCTTATTCGTTCAGTGAGGTGTGCCAGGCAGCGTGCACATAACGAAGCCCAGCCTAGTGGGAGAGACAGATGTGAAACAATGACTTACTACGCAAGGAGAGGCTGGTGCTGGAAGAGTTATGAACAAAGGACTTTGGGGCACAGGGGAGGAAGCATCCACTCACAGGGGGTAAGGAGAACTTCACAGATGAAGATATGTTTAAGGAGACGAGACCCAGGTGGAGAAGGGTGCTCCAGACATGGGGAATGACAATGACAAGGTTTGTGGTGTGGAGTTCAAGTGGGAGGCACCAGGGGGAGGACTGAGGAGGAAAGTGATGGGCTCAAAGAAACATACAGGGAGATACATCGATTCCTTGAACCAGAATTTCCTGAGCCCTGAGATGACCTTGCTGATTTGGGAGGAAGAGAGGAAAGGAGAGGAGATGGAGGGGTCTAGAACAGACAAGGCCAGGGCCTCCCAGCACAGAGTTTTAGAGGAGGGGTAGGTAGGTTAGGAAGTGCCTCTTTCAGAAAATGCTGCAGGATTTGGTGACTAATGGTCATATGAGAACGAAGATGGGCTGGGAGTCAGAGATGCGGGTCTGAAGAGCAAACCACGGCTGGGTGGCTTTGGAGCATTGGGCAAGATGCCTCCCCTGGCCTTGAGGTACAGCACACCAGTCACCACGGTAGCCACCCATCAACAGGCTGCTGCCTTTTGTTCTGCATAAATTGGGCACTGAAGAAGCCTCATTGTTGGTGTGCGGGGGTGTGTGTATGTGGGGTGGCTACATTCTGCTTAGAGAGGAGGAAAGGCTGGTTCCTCTCCCTGGCCCTCTGAATGCCCCAACGAACAACAAATAATATTGAGTGGGGAAGAGGAATGAGGTAGTGAGGGGAGAAGACCCTGAAGCAAAGTCAGAGGAGATGTGAAGAGATGCTAGGGCCACGGCTGAAGCTCCCCCAGCTGCCCACTCTGCAGGCCCCTGCAGGAAGGGGTCTCCATTCCCTTGTGTTCACCCACTTCCCCGCCCACCCAGGTTTAAGGCCCCTACCCAAGAAAAGAGCGAGAAACACACTGAAGCACCACGTCAGAGACAAAGGGAGAGAAGGTTGGGAGAGAAACAGAAAGATTGGGAGAGATGGGGGAAGACAAAAAGCCGGAGACCCTGCCAAATTCCGGAGACAAACGGACGGTCAGCCAACAGACAAAATGGCCAGCGGAGGTGGCCCGGGAGGGCCCGGCGCGGCCGCTCCGAGGGGCAGGCGTAGGGCGCCGGCGGGCACGGGAGGCCGGCGGGACGCGGAGGCGGTTCTCCGGCCGCCCCCGGCCCGCTGTCCCGGCCGCTCGGCGCGCCTCATTTCACACCTCGCCGCCCCCGGCCCCGTCTGTGCGGAGCCGGGAATACCCCCGCCGCCCAGATCGCACCTGCTCCTTCCTTGCCGCCCCCTCGCTTCCCGGCGGCCGCCCGCCTCCCAGGGCCCTGGAAGACCCCGCGCTGAGCCCGGGCCCATCCTCGGACTGGGTGCCCACAGCTGGTCGTGGCTGGAGGGGGTGCCCCGAGCCCGGGCGCGCAGAGAGAAGGACCCGGGGCCTACAGATGGGGCTCCGGGGCGGCAAGGTGCTCCGCCTGGGCCCGGAGCAATGCGGACATCGGGGGCCCCCAGCGCTGGCTGCGGCCCGACGGAGCGGCAGCAGCTTCCAGGGAAGTCAGACGCGGTGGGGGCAGTGGAAGGGTCTGGAGGCTTGGGACGCCGGCCGGGGGCCGCTTCGCCCGACCCGGAGAAAATCAGGCGGCCGGGAGGAAGCGTAGCTGGCTGCAGAGGGGCTGGGGTCGGGGCTGGCTGGGCAGGCTGGCTGGGGCCGGGGGGCTCTGTGCGGCCTCACGGGACTGAGCCGGGCGCGACAGAGCCAGGCGCAGCGGGGCCGAGGGAGCCGCGGTGCGCTGGGGCGGGCAGCCAGGGCCCGCGCCGAGGGAGACAACGAAATGGACCGAGGGTAGGAGTGTGACACCCCCAGGCCAAGCGCCAGCCAAGGTCTGTCCTACCTCTTCAAACGCAGGCCGCCGCCAGTGCCGCTGCGGTCCCGGGGGCTCACCAGACGACTGGTCTCCGAGCCCCCAGTGGCGGGAGAGGGCTCCATGTCCCCGCTGCCCGGACCGTCTAGGCCCCGACGAGGGAGGGAGAGGCGGGGCCGGCCCCGCGCCGAGTCCAAGCGGCCCGCCGACCCCCGAACTCCCCGCAGGGCCACGGGACCACCAGAGTGGAGGGAACTGCAGCGACTGTGGCGCGTGGAGTCCGAACTGCAGATCCCGCGGCCGCTGGAGCCCCGCCCCGCGTGGGGCGAGCTCCCCAAGCCCCGCCTCCAGGTTCCCCGGCCTGTCTCCCACGCCTAAGCCCCGCCCCGGAGCCGCGCCCCCATAGCCAAAGGCCCATTTCCCGACGCCAGAGCCTGGCGGGGAAGGCGGGAGCGCCCAGCCACCGGGGTTCTAGAGAACGCCCCATCTCCATAACCCCGCCCCCTTGTCTATCTAGCCCCGCCCCTGACCAAGTCCCGCCCACCGGTTCCAGGCCAAGCTCCTCGAGCCTAGGGACCTCCCCAACAAACTTCACCCAAGGTACATCGTCCCTTGCATGCCGGTGCGGGTGTATCGCCCCGCCACCCCGTTACCTTGTGGCTCCAGCCCCTATGCGGAGGCTGGAACAGGTGCGGACCCATTACCTATCTAGAGAGAACCAGAAAGAATGTGTATGATTGGTGGTGACACGCCCGGGAGTACTGCAGGGACTCCAGCTAGAAACCCCTCTGTGGAGGATCCGGGGTCGGAATTCACGCGCAAAATGTGCTGCCAAGCACTGTACTGCTAATGATCATTTATTTTTATACGGAGACATTGGGTGACAAAAAGCTTCCTGTTCTCCTTCAACCCATTATTATCCCTGCTTTTCGGATGAGTGAACAGTCCCAAAGGAAGAAGTGTCCAAGGTCATGTAGGCTGTGAATAAAGGGCTCGGACTGGAACCCCATCCCCTTTTCCTCCCCGGGTCAGGACGCTGCACTGACGACTGAAGAGACTGTAGGTCACGGTGCTCTCACAGGAGGGGGCAGTCGGTGGAGTCCGTGCCATCTCTCTGGGGTCACAAGCCACGGTTTATGGAGGGGGTGCTGAGGCTCAGCTTGTCAACTGGTGATTCCTAACCTCCGTACCTGTAGCACCTTCCCAGGCATTACCTCATTTTGCCTCATTTTGGGGAAACTAAAACCCAGGGGAAGGAGCGACTTACAGCAAAGTCGGTGGCCCAGCCTGGAGTCGAAGCTTCAAATGCTCAATGTTCTCTGCCCCTGGCACTTGTCGCCACTGTAGAATGAAAAGGGGGTGGGAACTGGATTGTGCACTCCAAGCTGTGACAGTCTGTGAAGAGGAGGGTCCGTAGGAGGAGGGGAGAGAGTGAGCAGGGATGGGGAAGCGCAGAGGGTGGGAGTGGTTAGTGAGCCCAGGCTAGAAACCCATCAACCGTATCCTTCAGAACACACCGGGCGTCCTGAACTGAGGGTTCTGGAGATAGACACCCGCCCCCGACATTGTTGTTCCAAACAATGAGCCCGCGCCTGTACAAAAACAAAACTGGTGCACGTGCCAGATAGAGTGGTTGGAAGTGATGGGGTTAACCTGGGAGAGCTTCGCGGAGGAGGTGAGGCTTAAACGGATTAGGCAAGCTGGGCGGCGGGCTGGCAGGGGAGAATGCTAGGCTCCTGCCAAGGTTTGCGGGCGGCGTGTTCGAAGTGATGTACTGCGCCGTACAGGGGAACCGAAGGGTCTGCGCGCGCCTCCGCCCACGCCACGCTCCCGGCCGCAGCCTGCCTTTCCTCGGCGCCTGCCCCCTCTCCTGGCCCAAGGCCCAGCCCCAAGCCCAAGCGGGGCGAGGGGGCGACTGGGTGAGGAAGCGAAGGGGGGCTTTCTCCCCCCAACCTCCCCTAGAGGCGTGGAGCTAGAATGACTTCAGCTACCTCCTCAGGTCACCGGGGAACAAACTGAGGCGGCGAGAGGGGAGGCCACTGGCCAAGGTCACCTCGTTTGCCCGTGTCAGAGCGGAGGTGGGCCGCATGTCCCTGCGCGGCTATGCCAGGGCCCAGGGCACGTCCCGCCTGGTGCCGTCGGTTTTCTAAGTTTCCGCGCCCGTCCTAGGGCTTTCCCCAATTCTGAGAACCCTGGAGCTGGGATGCGGAGGGGCCACCGCGCACTCCAAGGCTCCAGTGTTTTAGCCTGGCCCGAAGCGGCCGGCGTGCGTGAGCTGGAGAATGGGGAGAAACCGCGGAGCCCTATGCGGGGAACGGGCTTCTTGGCAGGCTCAGCTGATGACGACAACAGGGGACAAAACAACAATGGCTTCCTCCGGGATTTCCCTTCCTGCGCAGCCCGCCGCGCGCGGACAGCAGCCCCGAGTGCCCGGGAGGGGGCGCAGACGCTGGCACGTGCCCAACCCGCCACCGCGCGGGAGCTAGCTGGCGGGGAAGGGAGAGGCACGTTGGAGCTGACCAACGCGGAACGTGCCGCCTCCGGAAGCCGAGGACGCCGGCAGTGGGAATTCCAACCTCCGCTAGGAAATTTATGTAAGGAAAGCTTGGCAGCAAAACAGGGTGCTTGCACCTGTTTCTCAAAGAGCCATCAAGTGGCCTTATGAAAATCTTTGCAAAGGGTCCTCGCGAATGCCAGGCCTGAGGAAGTCATGCTGCACCTGGACAGGAGCTAGGAAAATGACTCAGGAGTTGGAAGGTCAGTTTAGGGCTGGTGACCTGTATGGAACTGTAGTCTCGTAAGAACTGTTCATTCAACATTTACTCAACATTTATTCCCTGTCATGCAGCCTGCTAGCCTACCCGGGGATTAGTGGTGAATAAGATATACTGTTACCTCCCCTTCTGACTGTAACTTGACTGCAAGAGATTTCTGCTCTGCAGTCCTTTGTTACTGATTAATCCACTTGCTCTTACTGCCTTTCCTGTCCTGCCTCAGGTATCAATCTTCTCTAAGGTGAGTCATTAGGCTGCTCTTAGTCCCAAAGGCATGACTGAGGAGAAGCCCTGGATGTCCCAGGAAGATAGGTCACTGCCAGCTTCCAGAAGGCCTCCGGCAGAACAGGCCAGAAGAGAGGTGCAGGGGGTCCCAGACTAGAAGTCCATGCTGGACCAGTTCATAATGGGAGAGGAGAGCAACACCCACCACTGAGGTCAGAGTTTAAGCGAGGCTAGAGATCTCAGGCAAAATCTGTAATTTAAGCATGTATGCAAGAGTTAACCCTTGAGAGGTCCAAGCCAAGCTGAAGTGTATGGGCAGAGGCAACCTGGAGGTCCAACTTGTACTCCATTCTCTGCTCAGATGTCACCTCCAGGAAGCCTTTCCTAACTCCCCCCAGGCTGGGTATGTGCTGCTCCCCAGTTCTCTCAAGGCTCACTGCTATCATCTGAGCAGAGCACTCACCACGTTGTAATGAAACCCCCTGCTTGTCTGTCTCCTCACTAGAGCGGAGGCAGGAATTGCGTCTTTCTCATACCGTGTCCCTAGTGCCCCACTAGTGGCTGGCATAGTCCTCAATTAAGCCATCCCAGAAAAGAGGAGCTGGGTGTCAGAATGGAAGCAGGATGGAGGAGGTAGGATGTTAGCTGGTCATAGAGAGGATGGGGAGGATGCCTTCCCTGGCCCCCACACTAGGTTGATTCTCATGTCACACGTGCTCATTGCACACAACATTTTCTTTCTTAGCATTTATCGTACTGTAATTAAACTGTTATTTGGGAATTATTTGTTTCTTCATTTGGCTTCCAGTATCCCATAATCTGGTTTTCCTTCTGCTTCACTGACTGCTTATTTTCAGCCCTTTGCTGGTTCCTCCCCACCTACTCTATCTCTTAGTGCTGGATTAGCCCAGGACTGGTCACCCTCTTCTCTTACCTTTCCACACTCACTCCCATGGATTTATCATCCAGTCTTCAGCCTTTAAATACCATCAAGTAACAGCAGAAAGTGATGGTTGTTGAAGCTGGATGTTGGGCACACAGGGAATCACTGTACCTCTCTCTCTGTATTTGTATGTGTTTGAAATTTTCTATTAAAACAGATTTTTAAAAATGGCATCTATCCTGGTAGTGGTAAAGATGAAAGAAAAAAAAAAAGACATCTATATGGTGATGACTCCCAGATGTCTCACTTGGACTCCAAACTCAAATACCCAAATGTCAGCTTACCATATCTTCTCTAATGTCTAATAGACAGGCACATCAAGCTTCGTAAGTCCAAAACTGAGCTCCTGATTGTCATTCCATCCCAAACCTTCTCTTTCTGCAGTCCTTCCATATCCGAACATGGTAACTCCATCCTTCCATTTGCTCAGGCCAGAAACCTTAGGGTCATCCTTGACTCCTCTATTGTCACCCCACATATAAGCTATCATTAAATCCTGCTGTCACCCTTCGTCCAAACCACCACCATCAGCCTTCTCGATTATTGTAGTGGCCTCCTAGGTGGTCTCCTTGTTTCCACCTTTATTGCCTTATAGTCTGTTCTTAACCCAGGAGCTAAGCAACACAGGTCAGATTTTGTCACTCTTCATCTTATTCAGAGTACCAGCCAATGTTCTTCTAATGGTCTGCAAGGTCCTACACAATTTAGCTTCCTCTGATCTCATTTCATACTCCTCCCACCTCACTCCCCAGCCACCTTGGCCTTTGTGTGAGTCCTGCAACACACCAGGCATGTTCCTGCCCCAGGGCCTTTGCATTTGCTCACCTTGCTACAGATAATGCACTCTGCCAGATGTCTCACAACCTCCTCACATACTTCAGGTCTTGACTCAAATAACACATTCTCAGGCCCTCTCTGCTTGTCCTTTTAAAAATTGCAACTTCCCCCTGCCAAACATTCTCTTTCTCCATTCCCTGCTTTATTTTTCTCCATAGCCATTATGACCATCTAACATACTATATATTTTATTTACTTTGTTTACTGTCTATCCCCTCCCACCAAAAGGTAAGCTCCATCATGGCAGAAATTTGTGTCTGTTTTGTGTGCTGCTGTACCCCCAGCACCTAGAACAGTGTCGAGCACATAATAGCACCCAATAAATATTTGTTGAAGGTCTTGATGAATGTCTGTCTCCCACATAAGGCTATAATCGATGAGGTCAGAAGAATTTGACCGCCTACCGTTATATCCAAAGTAGTAAGCATATAGCAGTGCTTGATAGATATTTGTTGAGTAAGCAAACTGATTAAGGAAGAGG